GGGGTTGTATAGGGGGTTATATAGGGTTTAGGATTGTAACAATTGCGGGGAGGATGTCAACTAGAAACAAGCTTTCCAGCGTGAGAATGTATCTGTAAATGGGGTCCCCTGTCCAGCCCACCCATATGTGGGCCCATGGTTGTGAGCAAGGACCGAGATCATCCCACATCATCGTTCTTTTGGCGATGACGAGTGGAATGCAACTGGCTTTGTCTATCATCATCACAACCGTCACTCGCATGTGTTGAGCATGGTGTTTTTCGTTACCCCGGCATTTACTACTCTAAGATCTTGCTCTTGCTTATCTGACCCAAGCAACGAGAACGACTTGTCGCAGCAAATTCCTCACGCCCTCCTCGTTGGTCCTCGCAGGATTCACACAGCCGATGAGTGTACTACGTTCAGAAAGACATTGTAGGGAAGATCATGAAGGCTACAGGGGCGTACCGTTTGGGGTTCCAGAAAAAGAGGATCTGTCTAGTATAGGCCCCGCTGTACTTAATGGTTGAAAAAGTGGCTCCCGAAAAGGAGTCTCTAATTCTTGGACACCGCAACGCCTTTCAGCTACTATATACGCGTAAATCCCGGTTTGTATCTCCTTTTCCCTGCCTCACGCAGATGCAGAGTCTAGAGGTTCCGTTACTCACATCATTGGACACAACATGACACAACGATGTAAATATATATATATAGTCCCCCTTACGTAAATAGAATTTTGCTTTGGGTATGTTATAATAAGATCCCCATACCCCATATTCTATCTACTTAAGGGGGACCCTAAACTAAACCCTGAACCCTAACCCTAAACCCTATGCTGTGATATCATAACCCTTCTCTCCTCCCCGAAGCAAGCACGGCATCTGCGCAGCGCACGATGATGCCTGGCAGATCGCCCCTCATACGATGCTGGCCCAGACGCGGTGAAGTATCCCAAGGGTTTATACTTCAGGAGTTTAGGGTTTATGTTTTGGGGGTTTAGGGTTCAGGTTTTAGGGTTTAGGAGTTTAGGGTTTAGGCTTTAAGGGTTTAGTTTGTTTTTTGGAGGGGGGTGGGGTGTTTATAGGGTTTAGAGTTAAGGCTAACGCCTTCAGAGCAATGAGAGTTTCCAACAATCGGGGCCCCAATATTGATCCTGACAGTTATTGTATCTTGTTATAAAGGAATCCAGACAAGGCGCCCTCAACTTTTGGACCCCCTCAATGATTCTTAGGGTTCCAGAGGTCAAAGCGTATAAGGGATTGAAAACTTTGGAGGGTCAGGATCAGTGTGGGTCCCTGTCACATCTTAGTAAAAGTCTTTGAACATGGAGAATTAAATCGCGATTGAGGACTATATAGCTTTGGTATGCGGACGGAACATTGAATGGAAATTGAGGATTGATTCTATAGTTTCGGTATGCGGATTACCTGAATAAATCTCAACATCATGTGGGCGGTTTATTTGAGGTACCCTATACTGCAGTTATACATGAAATCTAGGACCGGAATGTTGGAAAACATTCAGGCTTCTACGGTAACAACCGTCGTTCTGAAACACAAGACCCCTAGTCATGTCTGTTAGTTCTGGAGCACCGTAGCGTGAATCCCTCGTCTCCCAATCCCACTCCTTATAAGCCCTAGACTCACTTGAAACCCGCTTGAGCACTGTTTTTGGAAGGTTGAACCACGCAAGATTACAGTCTTCTTATAAAATACCATACCCAAAAGGAACATAGAATTTTACTCTATGTTGGAGGCTCCAAGTGTCTCTTACCCTAGGGATCCAAATAGCCCAGTGTAGGTAATATTTATAGACTTTGGGGCCCGATGTAGGTATGAATTGTATACTTGGATCCCTAGAATTAGTATCCCCACAAATATACTACTCGCCAGGCCTGGCAGGCCCATCCCGCGATTCGACTCGAAGAGGACTTCGGGCACTAGCACACGTTCCTTTTTTTCGGAGAGCTTCTTAGTATTGGGCTCAGGGTTCAGGGTAGTGGCATTGCGGCGCACAGCTTGGGGCGAGGGTTAACAGATTGGGGCTTCTGGAGTGAAGAGATTGGGATGTAGTTTTACAGAATAGAATGGGGCTTGGGGACAGGGATTTCGATTATTGCATTGGGTCGAGGAGTCGGGCTGGGCTGTTTAGGGTTCAGGGGTTTTGAGGAGAGTAATTGAGGAGTGGGAAGAGACACCAGACCAGGTTAGGGGCATCAAGACTGCGTGGTTTGGGATTTAAGGTTCAGGGCTTGGCGGTTTCCGTGCGTTGGGCGACCCCTGTACAGACGCCGTATCACCTTATTCTTTGTTTTACAAGGTGCGCCGCCACCTAATCTCTGGAAACCCTAAACCCTAAACCCCAAATCCTAAACCCTAAACCCCAAATCCTAAACCCTAAACCCTTTTTATGTCCCACTGCCCTATCCCTAGGGATCGCGAGTTTTTGAGCCACCACATAGGCAACGCTAGGATGACACGGCGTCGGGGTGGCTTGAGTTTAATGAAGGGGCCTGAATTTAGGGTTTTGGGTTTACAGGTTTAGGCTGTAGGGATTCAGGATTTGCAGTTTAGATTGAGGATGTAGGGTTTGGGGTTTTAGGGATACTGGTGAATCACACGGAAATCCGATGGAAACCGGGCTTATATTGCGGTCAGGTAGGGAGGGTTCGCTTTAGAGACCCTGCTTCTGATCCTGACAGCGCTCTATGAAGGAATAGTGCCATTGAGAGTAAAAATCCTGCATTTCGCTAGCTATCATGCGCCTGGGAAACCATGGCATTCAGTATACTGAGGTCATGCAGGATGATAAGTAGTTTGAGTATGAACATCTAAAGCCCTTTGAAACGGGATCCCTTTTGTGGGATCCATGTCAGTGTTACGGGGGCACTGCACCTTAAAACTAAATCCCGGCACCCAGATAGTCCTGATGTCCAAGCCCCAAAGAGTTTTTCATGTTATTTTCCATTATCCCTATATAAACCCAGTATATATCCTACAATCCCTATATCACCCCTATAATCCCGGTAGCGTACATTTTACTTTCCATTACCCAGAGGCCCTAAACCCAAAACCCAAGTATATGTATATATATATATATAACGCTAATATAACCCTTTTCTAACCAATAGAAATATATGTATAACTCTGATGGAATATAACCCTAATATATCCTATACTATCCCATCCCTATAACCCCCCAAGCCCCTCCGGACGTCACGGAGCCTCCGCAAGCTCCAGGGTGTTGTCCTCCGTCCGGGCTGAGGCGTACTGAGGCAGCTCTACCTGGGCATCTCGGAGAATGCATGGGGTTTAGGGTTCTTAGGGCCCTTTAAGGGGGGTTTAGGGTTTAAGGGTAGAGGATTTAAGGATATTCTACTGCGGGCTTGAAAGCCTACGCATGGTTGGCTCCCTAGAGCGAGGCGTTTTGCGAGGATTTGGCACCCTGTAAATATGCAAGGTATGCCTGTTCCTGGGAAGCACACGTAAGGATACAATCTCAAGTCTGAACAGGCTCCCGACCATTCTCCGCCCCACCTACCCTCATGAGCCTATCCCCTCTCAAGATCCTGGATCACGTTCCCCAACCCTTCGCCAAGGCGCTGAACGCAGAACCAAAACTTGACGCAAGGCTCCCAAGCCCAAGCCCTGAACTCTACTCAGTGTTGCTTAAGGTGGAGTACCCGTGTTTGGGGAGGAGGAGGGGAGCTCCTGCCTGTATTACGTCCGGAAGAATCCCTTATGACAAGGGTCTAATTAGGGTTTAAGGACTAACTATGACAGTACCTGTATCCCCCGCAACGCACCAGGAAGACTATGGACCCTGGTTGTACTTCCTTTCCGGTTCTGTCCTACATGTTTGCAAGGATACCCTCATAAAAGGCAGGACAGCAGGGGCTCCGGGTCAGCCCTAATCTCCAAACCCTAAACCCTAAGGCCAAAACCCTGAGTCCATATGACCCTAAACCCTTAATATCATCCCTGCATGCGCTATAGTCTAGAATTCTAGTACGCCCCCCCTAATAACCCCTATACTACTCCCCTATATAATCCCCAATATAACCCCCTTTAAGGAGTTGGGACCCACATTATCCCTACATAGTCTCTTTAAACCCTTAACCCAAGCCCTTTTAAGCCCAACGCATCGACAGGCCGAATCCCGTAGTCGTCACCCGCGGCCAGTCGACTCCGCATGCAGCCTCAGACGTGGCAAGGTTAATGTAGGGGTCCGCATAGGGGTTTAGGGCTTAGGGGTTTAGGGTTTAGGGGTTTAGGGTTTAGGGGTTTAGGGTTTTAGGGGTTTAGGGTTCAGGGGTTTAGGGTCTATAGGGTTTAGGATTTAGGCTTGATTGAAGGATTAAGAGTTTGGAATTCAGGGGCGGGGTTAAACAGGGTTCAGAAATGTTGAAGGGGATACAGGAGTTATAGCTGCATAGTATGTAGGGGAGCTACTGTTTCTAATTGAGGAAATACAGGGTTTATATGGATACATAAGCATACATGGGGTTTGGAGTCTAGGCATATGTAGAATCAACTTGAACAAGCTGATGGACACTGGCTTATTTCATAGGCTTTATAGGGAGTCCTTTAAGTTCAACGTCATACCTTTAAAAGGGGATATAAGCTTGTAGTAGGATTCTTACGTGCGTCTCTTTTTTGTGTATATATGAATATAGAAGGTGCTGGGTTTCGGGATTGGAGTTTAAGGTTGATGCCAAAATCCTGCGTGACCCTTAGTAAATTTTGCTTCAGACATTGAAGCATTGTAGTATATGCCTCAGTATAACACACTTAGCGTCATGCAGGATCTTGGCCAACAGCAATTTCAAGGGCCTTGGAACCGCTCTAAAATCTAAATCGTTTTGGGGTTCGTAGTCCTTAGGGTTCGTGTGTGTGTGTGTGTGT